GTGTGTGTCCCAATCCCACGGGCGATTGGTGCCGCTCAGGCTTCAGCTCTTTTGCGGATCACAGGGCAAGTTGACCGGTTCATCTCTTCCACCTCTCCGCTTTGCAATGTTCCAGAGGCCATCAAAAAATTGAAGCGGAAGTCATTTGCTTATGCTGGGCAGCCCGTTGAACACATGATGAACCTTGAGGCGGAGAAGGTGATTAAAGCCTGGCCAGGCTTGGGACAGGCAGCAGTCGTTGACCTAAAGGATTGTCTGCCTGAACACCTGGCATCAATGTTGGATGATCCTAAGCAGTTCCTCCTTCCCAAAACGGAGCTCCCGGAGCGACATCGCGGTTCAAAAGTGTGGGCTTCAGAGGCCGAGTGGGAAAGGATAGTTAAGGCCGGTTACGACCGAGGTATGTTCGTTCCAGTTGATGATGCAGACGTCCCACGGGACAGGAAGGGCCATCTGATCTCCAATGGCGCAGGGGCTGTCTCAAAGACCAAGGTCGTGAACGGGGTCACTCAGGAAGCTCAACGCTTCATCAGCATTTTATGCCCGCTAAATGACGCTATGCGGTTGTTGCCAGGTGCCCAAGACACGCTTCCCTACGTCGGCCAGTTAACAGCAATTCTTGCTGAACAGGATTCCTATCTAGTCATGGATTCCGAAGACCTTCAGTCCGCCTTCAATTTGTTCAGACTGCCGATTCAATGGGCGCCTCTCTTCAACTTCTCGAAGAAGGTTCGGGGTGACGTGATGGGGCTATCGTCGGACATCATGGTTAGACCAGCCAGTGGTTGATGAAGTGCTTACATTTGCAGCTCTGGTGCCCCTTGCGGAGACTAACCTCAAAGCTCCCATTTCTCCTGTCATCTCGTGCACCGATGCTTCCCCTTCTGGCGGCGGGGTGTGCGTTGCAGACACATTCAAGTCCGAATCCCTACAGGTGCCTGTTAAGTGCGAGCCGTCAGATCGCTGTTGTACCTGTCAGAGGCAGCTCCGAAGGGCTGATGAGGCTCGCTCTTACCCCTGCTCCCGTGGTTGTGGTATGGAGTGTTGCACCTTGCTATGCATCAGGATCCATGACAAGGAATGCACGAGGAAAGATCTCCATTCGCCTCTTTTTGGAGAAAGGTTTGCTGGCCCTCGTTTTCCTCTTTCTAAGGCGGTTGGCCTTGTGGGGATTGGTGTCCAGCCTCCGCTTGATGTGGCGATAAAAGGCGACAGCTGGGATTTCCGGTCAGCTGATGGCAAGCGTTTGTTGGATGATGCCGAAGCTGACGGAAATCTCATGTGGTCGCACTGGTCTCCGGAGCGCAGAACATTCTCCTCCTTCCGCGGCCAACCCATCTATGACATGCAAGGCAAACAACATCAGGGTCCAAAAGCGTTGCGTGATCTGAACTCACCTGGAGGTTTCACCGACCTTCGTCGAGGTGATTTGGTGGATGTGCGTCAGGGCAATGCCATGGCTAAGCGTGCCATTAGAGGCCTGCTGGAGGCCAGGGAACGAGGGCGATTTGCATCCCTCGAACATCCTTACAACTCCTATCTCTGGCACCTCCGCGACGCAAAACCTCTTTATGAAGAGGGGTGGTTCTGGTCTTCGTTCTCTTGGTGTTGCCTTGGGAGTGATCGACCGGTTTGGACAACCATCGTTCACAATTCTCCATGCCTTCACGAATTACTTCACAAGCCTCATTGTAGTGGCCATCAGGGGCTTCCTTCTTTTGAGGTCCATGAAACCCGGGGCCAGGTCGATTTCGATGGGGCTGAGGAGGATGAATATCCGTGGGAGCTATGTGTCGTGATGGCGTCGGCAGTGAAAAGCGAGCTGCAATCAACAATATCACCGGGCCTGTAGGAACCCAGGGTCTGTCTTTGGAAGCGCTTCTGTATTCTCAGCTTCGGGGTGCCGCGCGGCACTTACAACAGGAGTCAGCTGTGCGTTGGGCGGTTGAGCAAACTGCACGGTTCCTTCAGACAATGGACGCCGGTCAGGAACAGCTTCATTTACGCTGGCTTCTTCGTCACGTTCATCGCACCGGCGCTGGTATTCGCCTCACAGCTCACGGGGCGGATGAGCTTGGTCACCGTCCTGGACCTTACCCCGCATTCAAATGGTTGTGGCGCGAAATCCTTGCGTTCAAATGGAAAGCGCCGCAACACATCAACATCCTTGAAATTTCAGCCTTTCTCACTGAGCTCCGCCGCCGAGCCCGAGATCCTCTCCAGCATGGCCAGCGCTTCTTTTCAGTGGTTGATTCTCTCGTCTCGTGCTTCGTGCTCTCCAAAGGGAGATCCTCATCCAAGCGCCTCAACAGGTTGTGCCGCCGCGCTGCAGCAGTTTTGCTCTCGTCAGGTCTGATGCCCATCTCACTTTGGACTATCTCCAAATGGAACTTTTCCGACCATGCGTCGAGGAGATTCGAAACGTGAATACCACTTGAAATTCTTGGGCATCGCAGCTAAGACGAGGCGAATATATTCCAAAGCAGTAGCGGCATTTCTTCAGTTTCTCAAATCGTATTTTGGGCACTTTCCTGAAACCTTTGAACTTTTGGATGAGCAGCTAGCTGAGTACGCCAATCATCTCTACCAAGAAGGGGACCACATCTCGTTGGCGGGTTGGACAATCAGCGGCCTTAAACGTTTCTACCCCAGGTGCAGGCATCATTTATGCACAGCGCATCTTTTCTACATAAATTGGCAGCGAGTTCATCTCCTACAGCGCACCACTCCAATGACTTGGTTAGGTGTGAGGGCGATGGCCAGTGCCGCAGTTCAGGTGGGTCGGTTGGACTTGGCTATCCTTGTTCTCCTCGGTTTCGCCTTCTTTTTGCGTGCCATGGAACTTCTTGCACTTCAGGCGCATCATGTCCGGCTCTTTCCGAAGGAGGGCACTGTGGTCATTGCCATTCTGAATGCAAAAACTGGCCGCGGGTTACAGCAAAGCCTCAGCCTCAAAGAGCCGCAGCTGGTGCACTTCCTCTACTCTCTTTGGTTGCGCCACCGCCCTGTTGGCCGTCTTTTCAAACACGGTGCCCAAGCTTTTCGTTCTTCTTTTGCTTCGCTGGTTAAAGCAACTGGGTTGGACCCAGCTGCTTATCTTCCCTACTCACTGCGCCGAGGAGGTGCCACTGAGTTCTACCAGCGTACTCAAAGCTTGGGGCGTACCATAATTCAAGGTCGCTGGCGCGACCAGACCACTGCACGGATCTACATTGATGATGCCAGGGCGACCCTCACTCAACTTTTGTTGCCCGCCCACGTGACCGCCCTTCAATGCTCCCTTGCGTCCTTCTGGCAAGTGGCTGCGCCAGTGTAATGCTCGTGGGCGAGTTGGATTGGGCGTGTTGGTGCCTCGAATGTTCCCCGCCAACTTCTGGAGATTGATTTTGGCC